CCCATGTAGCCAGTCACTACACCTCCATCCTATCCTCCTACCAGCTATTCCTCTACACAGCTGACTAGTTATGATCGGAGCAGTTACTCTCAGCAGAACATCTATGGGCAACCGAGCAGGTATGGACAGCAGAGAGGCTGTGGTCAATAGGCAGTTATGGGCAGCAGCCTCCTGCTAGTTACCCTCCCCAAACTGGATCCTACAGCCAGGCTCGAAGTCAATATAGCCAGCAGCGCAGCAGGTACAGGCAGCAGAGTTTATTCTGACAGGATCACCCCAGTAGCATGGGTGTTTTATGGGCAGGAATCTGGAGGATTTTTTTGATCAGGAGAGAACTGGAGCATGAGTGGGCCTGATAACCAGGGCTGGGGGAGAGGGGAATTTGATCACGGAGGCATGAGCAGAGGTGGGTAGGGAGGAGGATGCGGTGGAATGGGCAGCACTGGAGAGAGAGGTGGCTTCAGTAAGTCAGGTGGACTCATGGATGAAGGACCAGATCTTGATTTAGGCCCACCTGTAGATCTGGATGAAGATTCTGACAACAGTGCAATTTATGTGCAAGGATTAAATGACAGTGTGACTCTAGATGATCTGGAAGACTTCTTTAAGCAATGTGAGGTTGTTAAGATGAACAAGAGAACTGGGCAACCCATGATCCACATCTACCTGGACAAGGAAACGGGAAAGCCCGAAGGTAATGTCACAGTGTTCTATGAAGACCCACTGACTGCAAGGCTGCTGTGGAGTGGTTTGATGGGAAAGATTTTCAAGGGAGCAAAATTAAAGTCTTTCTTGCTTGGAAGAAGCCTCCAATGAACAGCACATGGTGTGGTATGCCACCCTGTGAGGGCAGAAGGATGCCACCACCTCTCAGTGGAAGTACAGGGGGCCCAGGAGACCCTGGGGGACTCATGGGTCGCATGAGAGGCCATGGAGGACACAGAGGAAGCTTTCCCCCAAGAGGGCCCTGGGATTCATGAGGGAAAACCTCTGGAGGAGGAAATGCTCAGCACTGAGCTGGCAGTGTCCCAATCCGGATTATGGAAATCACCTGGAGAACATAATGCAACCAGTGTAAGGCCCTGAAGCCTGAAGGCTTCCTCCCACCACCCTTCCCATCCCTAGGTGGTAGTCATGGCAGGGGAGGCCCTGGTGGCATGTGGGGAGGAAGAGGTGGCCTCATGGTTCAGAGGTGGCCATGGGAGAGACAGAGGTGGCTTCCATGGTCGCTGGGGCATGGACTGAGGTGGCTTTGGTAGAAGATGAGGTGGCCCTGGGGCCCCCCTGGACCTTTGATGAAACAGATGGGAAGAAGAAGAGGCAGACACGGAGGACCTGGAAAAATGGATAAAGGTGAGCACCCTCAGAAACGCAGAGACTGGCCCTCCTAGACACAGAGACCCTGCAGAGCTACAGTGACTACCAGATTTATTTTTTAAACCAGAAAATATTTAAAATTTTTATTTCCATATTTATAATGTTGTCAACAACATTATGATTATTCCTTGTCTGTACTTTAGTATTTTTCACCATTTGTGAAGAAACATTAAAACAAGTTAAATGGCAAAAAAATAATAAAAAATAAAATAAAATAAAATTTTATATATTGTTATCTTTTTAATAATTTAAAATCTTTTAATTTGAAGAAAATATTCTATTGTCACAAGTTCTGAATTATCACAAGATTGTAATCCTTTTGCTTGATCTGTAAAAGACTCAAGATTAGTTTGTTTTAAATTTGATTGCAGATTTGTTCTAAGCAGGGTATGTGCTTCCCTGCTCTCCTCCTTTTGCTATTAATGTGTAGTCTGGGATATGAAAATTACCCTTCATTGTACATTTGTTTTGATAAGTGTTCTACTGGTATCACTTATCCTTCACAAAATTTTTGTTAATTTATTGGTATGTTGTTTCTCTATAACATGTGGCAGTGTAATTAGGATCTCAAACCTGAAACACTGGAATATAGTACTGGAATTTTGGATTTTCATGGAAAGCATTTTTCCTTACTCAGTCTGGGTCAATGATAAGCTTTCTGGTCATATCCTTGTTTTTTTGATTTTTACTCTCATGAATAGAGAATCCAGTGCTTCAAGGGTTCTGGCCATATACTTACTCCTATATACGTATCTCCTGTCCCTAGGTAAGCGTTAATATTTTAGTTCACAGCCATACCCAGGTTGTTTTAATTTGCAATTCTTTACTGATGTATGATGTTGAGCATCTTTTCATGTGTGCTGTGGATTGAATATCCCTCCCAAAACTCATCGAAGCTTGACTCCATTGTAACAGTGCTAAGAGGGTGGGAAATCTGACTAAAGTATTTGAAAGATGGGGCCTTTAAAAGATGATTAGATTATGAGGACTGTGTCCTTGTGAATGAATTGGTCCATTCATGGAGTAATGGGTGTGGTTCTGGTGATGTTATAAGAAGGGCAAGTGGGAAGGTTAGCTCACTCTTGCCCATGCCATTTTCTCTCACGATGTGATACCCTAAGTTGTTGCAGAGTCACCACCCAGAAGAAGGTCCTCACCAGATGTGATGCCTGGATTTTATACTTTCCAGCCTCCAAAGATGTAAGAAATAAATTTCATTCCTTTATAAAGTACCCAGTTTCAGGTAATCTGTTATTAGCAACAGAAACAAACTGATATATTTATTTGCCATCCATATATCTTCTTTGGTGAGGTCCGCTCAGATCTCTTGCTCATTTAAAAATTGAGTTGTTTGTTTTCTTATTGTTGAGTTCTAAAAGTTATTTGTATATTTTGGATACAGGTTTAGATATGTGTTTTGCATATATTTTCTCCCAGACCATGGCTTGTATTTTCATTCATTTAACAGTGTCTTCCATTGAGCAGAAGTTTTAAATTTTAATAAAGTCTAATGTCAACTTTTTTCTTTCATGGCTCATGCCTTTGGTACCTAAAAACTCATTGCCAAACCCAGGGTCACTTAGATTTTTTCCTGTGCTATCTTTTAGAAGTTTTATAGTTTTGTGTTTTACATTTGGGTGTGTTATTCATTTTGAGTTAATTATTGTGAAAGGTGTAAGATCTGCATCTAGATGATGATGATGATGATGATAATGACTGCATATAGATGTCCAGTTGTTCTAACACCATCTGTCAAAAAAACTATTCTTCATCTTGTTGCCTTTATTCCTTTATCAAAGATCAGTTGATTGTATTTGTGTAGGTCTATTTCTGGGCTCTGTATTCTGTTTTACTGATCTGTTTGCCTATTCTTTTGCCAATACCATATTATCTTGATTTCTAGTTTAATTCCAGTGTGGTCTGAGAGCATACTTCGGATAAGTTCTAGTCTTTCAAATTTGTTAATGTGTGCTTTATGGCCCAGGATGTGGTTTATCTTAGTGAATATTCCATGTAAGCTTGAGAAAAGTGTACGTTATGCTATTTTTGGTTGAAATATTCTACAAATGTTAATTAGTTGAGAACATAAACTTCATGTTAAAAAATTAACTTCTTGTTTTAGAACAAATTTAGATTTACAGAATTATTGCAAAGGTGGTACGCAGAGTTCCTATAATCTCAACACCCATTTTCCCCTATTATTAACATTATGAGTATGATACATTTGCCACAATTAATGAACTGTTATTGGTATGTTATTTTTAACGAGAGTCAATACATTGTTTAGATTTCCTCAGTTTTCTCGTAATGTCTTTTTCCCATTCCAGAATCTAGTCCAGGATAGTACATTACACTTAATAGTCAAGTCTTGTTAGGCTCCTCTGAGTTGTAACAGTTTCTCAGACTTTCCTTTTTTGTTGATGACCTTGACAGTTTTGATGATGACTGTTCAGGTGTTTTGTAGGGTATCCCTCAGCTGGTAATTGTCTGATGTTTTTCTCATGATTAGACTGGCAGAATGTGTTTTGGGACTACACAGATAAAGTGCCATTTCATCACATCAGAGCAAGAGTACTATGTTACTATCAGTGTAACTCACTGTTGATACTAATCTTGATCACCTGACTTCATGCAGTGTTTCTCAGGTTTCTCTACTGTAAAGTTCCTCTTTTTCCCCTTCCTGTCTATACTTACCTTATGGAAGAAATTCACCATATGCAACTCACACTTTAGGAGTGGGGAGTTATACCTGACTGCCATTCTTACTGAGCTCCATCCTTACTAACCTCCATCCTTACTGATATTCTGCCTGCTCGATCTATCAATTACTGACAGGAAGGTTTGAAGTCTCAACTATAATTGTAGATTTGTCTATTACTTCTTTCTGTTCTGTCAGTTTTTGCCTCATGTCATATATTCTTGGAGGATTGACCCTTTTATTATTATGCAATGCCCTTCTTCATTCCTAATAAATTTTCTTTGTTCTGAAATCATCTTTGTCTAACATTAATATGCTACTCAGGCTTTCTTTGGATTCATGTTAATATGGTATATTTTTCTCCATCTCTTTACTTTTAACATATCAGAGTTTCTATATTTAAAGTGGGTTTCTTGTAGACAACATATAATTGGGTATTTTTTAATCCACTCTGACAATCTCTGCTTTTTAAATGGTGTATCTAGATCATTCACATTTAAAGTTGTTATTGATATATTTGGCTTACTATCACCTAGGTTGGTAACTTTTCTACGTATTGCATTTTCTATAATTCCATTTTATCTCCTGCCTTATAATTCTTTTTAAATAAGCTTTTAGTGGCTGTTGGAGTTTATAATTCACCTTCAAAACCACTGTTATGCTTCAAGAGTACTACAGATACTTTGTGTCAGAGGATCCCCAATTCCTGTCTCCTATCCCTCGTGACATTGCCATCATTCATTTCACTTATTCATAGGCTATAATCACCCACTACATCATTACCATTATTATTATTTTTAAAACAACCATCTTTCAGATCAATAAAGAATAATAAAAATAAAAGATTTTATTTTATCTTCATTTCTTTCTTCCATTACATTCTTTATTTATGAAGATCTGAGTTTCTGGCCTACATCATTTTCATCTGGCCTGAGAAAAATTTTTGACATTGCTTGCTAGGAAGATCTAATGGCAATTAGTTTTCTAAGTTCCTCTTTGTCTGAAAAAATACCTTTTCTTTCCCTGGTTTTTTTTTTGTGTGTGTGTGATATATTTATTAAGTTATAACTCACATACCATACAGTTCACCCATTGAAAGTGTACAATTCAATGGTTTTTAGTATATTCACAGAATTGTGTAAACATTGTCCACAACAGATTTTTAAAAATTATGTCACCTGAAACACATACCTTGTATCCCTTAGCCATCACCCTTCCCCGTATCTCTCATCCCTCTAGACCTGGGCAGCCACTAATCTGCTTTCTTTCTCAATAGAATTGTCTATTCTGGACATTTCATATAAGTGGAATCATACAATATGAGGTCCTTTGTGACTGGCTTCTTTCACTTAGAATAGTGTTTTCAAGCTTCATACATGCTGTAGTATGAATTAATACTCCATTCCTTTTATTACTGAAAAAATATTTTATTGTATGGAATGGATCTATTTATCCATTCATCACTTGATACACATTTGGGTTGTTTCCTTTTTTTGGCTATTGTGAATAACAATGCTATGAACATTTGTGTACAAGTTTTTGTGTAAACAATGTTTTTATTTCTCTTGGGCATATACCTAGGAATGAAATTGCTGGATCATATTGTAATTCTATGTTTA